CTCCTGTTATGAAACCTTCCAGAAGGCCTCTGAAATTCAGGGTACTTCCCAAAACTTCTGCACTTCATTTTCAGTAAAAGTCAACGTAAAGGTCTTTCATTTGTTGTGGATAATGTGATGTCTGCCTGAAATGACAAATATGAATATAGTGGGTTGGTTCAGTACTGCCTGGAAATTTAATTACAGGGGGAAGAAAATATTGAGTACCTTTAAACTCACCTTGAGTTCACGCATCAGTAATTGACAGAGTCTAGACAGATGGTGATCTGGAAAGTAAAGTCTGGGGAAAATAAACGTGCAGATATTAAAGTCAGCTGCACTACCCAATGGCAATAAAGTGGAAAGAGCTTAAGTGGGGAGGGGGGGTGACAACTTTTGTAGCAGCCGCCAAAGCAGTTGCCAGCAGTTCCGTGTGGAACCTGCTCCCTCTCTAAGGACTGTGTTTTTTTAAAAATTTCATGTAAAAAAAACAAGGTCTGTAGAACCTGAAAAACTACAGCAAAAAGCAACCTACGATAAGGTGAATATCTGTCTGAGTATCTGCAAAGCCCTGAATCAAGTTTTTCTTCTTTCCAGGGACTCTCATTTAGAAAGGCGTTCGTGAGACCCAAATTGTATTGTGGATCACAGCATGTTTTTACCATCTCTCACTAGAGCAAAGCAATCACAATGGGATGCACTGCTGATTGGTGTGTGATTTCTGAGCTGTGCCATAGCAGTAATTCTGATTTTTTTTTTTTTTTTTTTTCCCCCCAGAAGCCTTTGTGTTAAGATACGTTCAGGGCGGTGCCCAAGCCACCCACTTTGCAGATGGAGGTGATCTTGGCCTTCAGGAAGATGTGTGTGAGCTCAGCTTTCTCTTGTTATGCTCCAGAGCTTTCCAGAAGCCCAGGCCTGGAAGCAGGCTTGACTCTTTTAATAGGCAAGATCCAGGCATAAAATAACTTTTGTCTTGGAATCTGAAGGAGAGTTAAGCTGTGGTTATGCAGCTGCTGCTGATTGTGTGCAGAACAGTGAGTTTGGTGGTGGTAGTTTCAAATTCCTACAGCTCTGTTCCTACTATGAGCAAAGAACCTGCATTGTTAGGATGAAGTAAATCAGGACTTTCTGCATCACAACTTTGGCTTAAAAATTACATTCATTTCCTTGATAGAGTTTCTCAGAAAAACTAGCTCTACTTGACTCTCGCTTCTAATGCCACTTTGCCATTTGCAGTGCTGGGATGGTAGTGTTTCTGGAAAACAACCTGAGCAAGGAAAAAAGACCGTGTTACATAGTTTATCTGGACAGTGACAACATCTTGTAGTAGCAGCATTATCTGAGCTGCATTCACTCTTCAGTGAACTGGTAAGACATATGCTTGGATTCCCAGCCCTGTAAATGCAGATTGATATTTAGCCATCTCCCTGTTAGTCTGACAGTTCCCATTAATAACTCCTGAACTTGCTGACCAACTTCAAAATAAATTTGACCCGTTATACAGTTCTCATGCAAATGCTCACAGATGGCATTCAAACGTATCTGTTTAGAAAAACTTGAAGCTTATTGCTGCTGAATGAGGTTTTTTTCTTACTTGACTAGGTCATCAGAGAGATGAACAAATTAGAAACACTGAAGTGGTCCCTTGGCACCCGAGAGGAACTTTGTTGGGAAAGCATTAGTTTTACAGGAAAGAACTATAAGATGGAAATAAAACCAGAACATGCTTCAGTTGGCCTGGAGGGAAAACCTCTGCCTCCTGAGGCCCTGCTCTGCTGAAGGCAATGGCCGAGTGCCGGGTGTCCTCCTTGACATCACACTCTTCCTGTCACTGCTGTGACTTGTGCAGAGGAAATCTACTAGTTTGGCAAACAGCTTTTCAAGACACCAGTATTTACAGTATCCACAGAACTTTGTTTAGGTGCAGCTGTGTGTATGGCAGCTGTGCCTCACTGCTGTCAGTACATGTGTGTGGCCTAAGCATTCAGCATCTCCCGTGGAAGTACCAAGGAGATGGAAACTCACTAGCCTCATGGTTCTGGCCTTTGCCTGACAGTTTCCATCAAGCACGGAGAGCAGCAAGCAAAAAGGACATCGCTTGTACTGTAGTTTGTATTATTTATGACTGTCTTTAGAAGAGCAAATAGTGCAATGCTTGATGACAGAAGACTTAAGTCACTGATGGTACGGTTGCTGAATGATGTGAAGAGCTGCAGTTCAGATCTTGGCATAACTGATTTTGGGAAATGAAGAACACTCTAACCAGAGACAAGCCCTCCTAGACAGTTTTGGCTCTTTGTTTACTGACTCAAAACAGAAGGAATGAACTCGGTGTGAAAATCTGGTCAAAGGCCTTCCTGGCTTGCCCCGTTTTCTGAAGGGCCTATCTGTGCCTCAGGAACTGCTTGCCATCCAGGAGGTCATCCTGTAGCTCATAGAACTCAAGCACCCAATGAGAAGACAGCAACTGCCTGACTTAGAAGAGCTACATTGGATATTAAATGTTCCTGAAATCACAGAACAGCTGAAGTTGGAAGGGATCTCTTGACATCCCTAGTCCAACTTCTACTTAAGGGACACACAGAACAGTAGGCCCAGGAACTTGTCCACGTGGCCTTTGAATATCACCTTTTTGGCCATGTGGACGCATTGATATCTCATGTTCAACTCGATGGTCACCAGGATGCATGGGAGCATCCTACCAGGACTCACTGACTTGTCATCCTGCACTGACAGCAATGCTTCCTTGCATCTGAAGGTGAGCAATGTTGAAATTTACTCTGTGGAAGACAAAACCCCCTGGAGCCCAGGGACTATAGTAGCTCTGGGAGAAGGAGGCACTGTGTTGAATCAGGACGTTGCACAAGAGCCAGCTTCAAACTGTTTAGGGTGTTTGGATGTGCAGCATTAATATCCCACTCATGCTCTGCTTTGATTGCTGATTGCTTCTATTTATAATCGGATATCATCAGAGTTCCTTCACTTCTTCCTCTCAAATAGACTGCACCACCTTCTCATCCTCCTCCACCTTTCCTGCCCCCTTGCTGAGTCCCACCATGGAGCCACTTCTACATTTTGTTTGCAATAAAGTAAAAGATTATGTGGTTTTATTCTAACTCCTTGGTCATAACTATCTAAAAAGCCTCAAATGATTACATCAAGGAAAAGCAGAGCAAAATTTCCATGAATACCAGATGCACAGAACAGTACACCTCACAGAGGCCAAGAAGAAAGAAAATTATTGATAAAATTACTTGGATTGTATCCCCCAGAACTTACTCCGCACTTGTTTAAAATCAGAAAGAAAGCTTTTAGGAGTGTATTTTAGATAGCAGCCCATTATCTTGGACATAGTATAGCTTCAGTCTGACAATAGAAAAACACTAGCAATATTATATTTTTGTGAGACATAACTTGGCTGTGTGTATGATTCTGAGTAACTTTTCTATAGTGTCTCTGATGAGCCATTATGGATCAAAGTGTCTGCTTAGAAGCAAGCACTGGGACTACTTCCAAAGAATATTGAAGGCAGGGCTTCCAGAGCTGGGTCCTCGGGAAAGCAGTGAGTGTAGTTCCTCCATGCCATGCAGTGATATTCACAAAGCCAGTACAGCTGTCTCAGTGTTCCTGATATTTTCTTCAAATTGCAGGGTAAAATGTACCCAGTACTGTCTTTCACCTCTGATTTCTGTCAGTGCTCACAGCTGGGCACAGTACCTTACAAATGCTGAAGAGAGGATTACAGGAGAGAGATACAGACGTTTCTTTTCATGCATTCTAAATATGTTGTGAAAAGTTCTTGCAAAGGCCACACCTGGGACGTGTGTCTTCATATTCTGAGCCAAATGGTTATAAATGTGGCACCATACTGATCCAACATGTGATTGTACCAAAAAGGAGGGAGCTGCTGCCAGCACAAAAATCAGTGCAACGGCTTGGGAAGGTCAAACTGACCTTGACAGCATGCAAGTCTGGAAGGCCTTTCTGTGCTTACTTGACCTGAGGAAAATCAATTGGTCATCCTGTGTCTCATTTCCCTCCTTTTTGAAATGCACTTTATCCCTGAGCCTAAAACACATTTAACTTGGAAAATCAGTGGGATACAGCAGTAGGGCCAGCTGACTCCCCAAAGTGGGGTATGGTCCCAAAGCCTGAGTGCATGGGAGCATGAGCAGGAGCTGCATGATGTAAGGAATGTGGGGGAAAGGCGAGACATATGTCAGGCAGAGTGGATGCTGGTGTGGCCGGTTGGGCAGCCACAGAGGAATGTCAGCTATGGGACATGCAGCCCCAAGGGATCTGTCTGCCCTTCCTGCATCTCACCTCTCGGAGCACCTGTGCTGATGGCTCTCATTGATTTCCCTTTTGCTATCTTGGAGGTGAAGGATGTTCATACCCTTGACACTTCTTCTTTGAGACACTGATCCAAAGGATCAGAATTGGGAATTGGCATGGGATTGGCATAGTTTGGTGAACTGACCCTCATGTATGACAGGCTGTCCTCTTGTGATCCACATTTAGATTTTTTTCCACATAAAAAATTCACTACACAGCCTTTGTTTCACAAACATGTTGAAGCATTCTATAAATATAATTTGTTCCAGTCTTGTAAATGTCTTTAAATTCCACCCTTCACAATGAGAGCAGTTTTCCTATAACCGATATATTCCCAAGTGATAAACAAAAAAGGATGGAATCTAAAAAGCTGAAAACAAGCAGGAGGAAAAAAAAAAAGACAAATCATAGAATGGTTTGTGTTGGAAGGGACCTTTAAGATAGTTCTGACCCCCCACCTTAGGCACAGACACCTCCTTCCCACTAGACCAGGTTGATCAAAGCCCCATCTAGCCTGGCCTTGAATGCTTCCAGGGAGGGGGCATTCATGACCTCTCTGGACAACCCGTTCCAGTGCCTCACCATCCTCACAGTAAAGAATTTCTTCCTAACATCTAGTCTAAATCTACTCTCTTCCAGTATAAAGCCATTTCCCCTCATCCTGTGACTACATGTACTTATATAAAGCCTCTACCCAACTTTCCTGTAGAAGTCCTTCAGGTACTGGAAGGCTGCTGTAAGTTCCCATGAGAAGACCAAATCTGTTTTGATGGACACCCGATATGCCATGGTCTGAAGTACTGTAAAGTTTTTATTGCCACTGGTTTTGTAATACTGTCCTCCCAGACTCATCTCAATAAAAAGTTCATTTTGCCTGGGCATGGCTTGCTCCACAGGCAGGGCTGGTCAGGACTGCCAGCGCTGTGTCTGACTTCAGGGGCTGGCAGCACGTGAAGCCATGGAAGCTGGGGGAACCAGCCACAGCCATGGCTCTAGACTTGGCATCCCTCAGCTCTTCCTTGCAGAGATGGCAGTGGGAGCATGTACTGGGGCTTTCTGCTGCATAGTATTGGATGGTGGCCCCTGAGACATGGTCCAGAGAGTAAAGACATTGGGGAAATCAGATTGAATTACAGTAGAAAAGGTAAAGAAGCCTTTGCCAAAAATCTCAAAGCTGGTCACTAAATTCAGGCAAGAAAATTCATTTTTGGCACCCTACTTTTTAAAACAAATCAGGGAACTGATATCTCCTGCTGAAATATAGATTACAGAAGTGGTTGAAACACAGGGTGATGTGCAGGAAAGGATGCTGAAGGATTTGTTACCAATGGAAATTGGCTGGAAAAAACAGTGAGGCACCTTCAGTACAGAAATGTGTGAAACTAGGTCAGGCAGTATGGTTATAGGGCTGGTGCCATGAAATTCTGCCAGGCTGCCTGGTACCAACTAGGGTAGTTCGTAAGAAGAGATGATGAGTGAGGAAAAAGAAAAAAGTAGAGATAGCTCTGCAGACATAAAAGCCCTTCCTTGCATCTGACAGAAAAGATGCTGCCCATTGGTGGAGGTGCATATAGAGAGAAAACGTTAACCCAGTCACCGTAATGGGTACAGGTTACAGAACAAGTTGTTGCAGTAGCTGGGGTTCACGCAGCGCCTTCCTTCTTCCACGTCACCATAGCTTCCCTTGAAGAGCGCTGGGAGCTGCTGCTGGTGCTGGTGTGAGCCCTGCAGGCCGGGCCCATGCTGAGGCAGAGGGTATGACGGAGGAGGGAGGCTGTAGGTTGGAGGAGCTTTTCCCTCGCAGGATTCCTCCCCCAGAGGGCCAACACTGGGCCTGAGGGGATTGTGGCCTCCCTTTGTAACCAGCAACACATCAGAGATGTGCAGGGGGCTGCTCCAGGCCTGTGTGCACAAGCCACCATGCGCAGGGTGCACCTGGTCTTCCATGTGCTCCATGGCTGCTGTCGGATATGGTGGCTGTTCCATGCAGCAGCCTGCTGTGTGCTGCAGGGAGCTTGTGCTTAAACATCCCCCAGAACTGGGAGGTAGCATACACTGGTCCGGCTCGGAAAGGAACAAAGGCAAAGCCTTCTGGGTGGGCACCTCACCTGTCACAGACTTGGGAAAGCAAGGTGGAGATTATTGCAACACAGTCCAGACTAGCAACTTGAACCAAAAAGCAGTGAGTGCATACAAAAAAGGCATTAAATTAATGCAGGGAATAAAGCAGGCACAGCAGCAGGACCTCCTTTTAGAGCAGAGCCACGGGCTTTGGGGACAAATCTAGCAGGGGCTCTGAACTCATGCTTCATGCAATATTCAACCATGGGCTTGGCTCACTGGTTTTCAGCTAAATTCTGTTTTAAACAAAAAGAATCACTAGATCTCACATTCACAGGATATACTGTAGGAGCACCTGAAAATGGATGCATTGAAATACATTTGATTCCACAGAATTTAAGTTATTTCTATGGAGCTTGGAAAATATACAAAATATTATTTTTTAAATGGTTGTTTTGAAGTGTTCTTAACTGACTATTTTTATTACCTTTAAATTTTTTTTTTTGGCCATAAACTCCTCTCACTGGAGAAGGGAGCAGCACAGTGGAATTATTCTTCTGAGTCATTTTTTTCCCTGGATATTTTGCAACTTCTTTAAATGCCTTAATTATTGGATTATAATTGTACAGTATTTAATTCCTGTCAGAATACTCATTCTGTGCTATCATTTCTGATTAGTACTTACAGATCTCTGCTCCTTATAATACTGCCTTTGTGTCCATTTAATTATAGTGATTTTCTGACTTGTTAACTGCCAGAGTAGAAAAGCTCCTTTCAACTGCTCTCCCCTTACCATGAGAAGAAATTCCAGTGACCTAATTTAGGACCAGCACATCTTCAGCTAAAAATCAGGTGACGCCGTAGAGAAAGCATCTTACATATCACTTGCTCTATTTTGGGCCCATATATTTTCTGTGTCTTTCCCTCCTCATTTCTTGTCAAAACATTAGAGGCAAATATTCTATGGAGACTTCTCTCAGCTTCAGCAATACCAACTGCATGTGAGAAATTGTTGTATTACAACTGGTCATAGCAAACAAGAATGTCATGAGTTATTCTCAAGTCCCACTCTGACTTCATGAAGTCAGGCCAGCTGACAAGTAGGCCATTAATTATTTAGACAGTTCAGTATTTATTAAATAATTAGATACTGAAGACATTTATGATCTGTTCCCACTCCTACAAAAATTTGAACTCAAAACAACAGAACGATGTTGTAGAAAGAGATGGACAAAGACTAGCACTCTTTAGAGTCCTCAGATATAAAATTAAAAAAGCCACAAAGCTCAATAACATTTCCTAGATGAAGAATTTCCTAAGTATCTTCTTCATCTCTCATGTGCTTCCTCAAAAGGACAGAATTAAACCAATATTATGAGAATCATTGTTTCAGTCTTTGTTAAATACTAATGTGGAAGTTTATTTTCTTGTGTTCCCACTCACCTGTGTCAAGAGGTCATTGTCAGCCTGTTGTGTTTTCCAACTGTCCCATCCCAAGTTAGTGTGTCATCATGAGAATCACACCTAAGTTCTGTTTGTTAGTGTCCTTCTGCATATTACTAGTAGAAATAGCTGCAGCTTTTAAATTCATATTCCATTTAAATGGGTTTAACTTCTGCTGACTTGTAAACTACTTTGTGAGCTCTGGATTCCCCTCCTCCCTCATGTATTTTAAGGATTCCTTCTGCATTCGGTCCAGTTATCTTTTTTATCTGTTGATGAAGGGGTATGAGCACTGTCCTTAACGCGGGGCTGGGGAGGATATGCCAACTCCAGCACTTCAAAAGTCAAAATGTATGTAAAGACGAGTGTGTACAGCTGGGTGTAACACAACATTTGCAAGGAAAGTCACTAAATGAAGCCTTACTGCTCTACCTTCTGACTCCATCAGGCACACAGGGGTCTACAGGACCTCTGTAGCTTGTCTTTCACAAGAGCTTCCACTCCCAGCTGCTTGGGCAGAGATATTCTCCTTTGATGTCAATACAGAATTGACCAAATACCTAACTACTTTATTCCCAGATTTGTTTATAAGTTATTTCATTTCTGGAGCTGCACTTATACTTGTAGGAAAATTTTCTAAAGGCAACTTGTGCATTTTTAAAGAAGGAAAAAGTTACGTACATACCACTAAATAAAATGAGGCCAAGAACTATTTGCAAGCATGAGTTATATGGACAAAAACCGTGCCAAGAATGATGTGAATAGTGACGTGATAGCCCTCCAGCCCTGCCTCAAACTCAAGGAGGCTCTGACTGGGGAATGCCAGCAATGGACTCAAGACAGCCCTGCTCCTTCTGTACCTGACAACGGGGGAATGAAATGTAGAGACATAAAACCCACTCCCACCCAAAGACAAGGTTCCTCAAAGGAAGTGTCTTGCACCATGCATCCCTTGCCCTGCAATTTAATTTGTTGATAATAAAAGTTACCTTGATCTCCTGGAGCCTTATTGGTGTTGAAGAAGGTGGAGAAAAAGCCGTGTGTGCTTTCTGAATGGATCTCCTTGCTTCTGCTTCTAGTTTTGTTTCTGGACGTGGATGGTCATGAGCCCCTTTGGACTTGAGAAAGGAGTTGCGATATTTAGAAACAGTCTTGTTATTAATCTTAATGGAGTAGGATTTTTTTGCACAGGCCAAAAACATACACATGGCCTGTTTTAATGCTTTGTATTTAATAAGACTTATTTAATTTGAGCTCAAGTAACAAGCAGATGAATGCTTCACTGATGAAGTGTGATAGGGCAGAAATTCCCTTAAATCATGAAGCAGTACACCACACTGACATGCAGAAGAGACTCCCCACACTGGAGACCCAATTAAAGCCACAAGGTCAGCTGGCTACATTGTCCCTGCAGCTGTTATCATTCTTCTTAGATGTGTTTAGCAGGACATTAATTTCTCTTAATTCTCACAAAGAATTAACATTATTTAACCTGCATGAAATGAAAGAGAACTATAAAGACTAAGAAGACAAGAAGGCAATGCAATGTGTATGGTATTAAACTAGGTCTATATCTTCCAAAAAGTAGTTGCAATTATTTAAACATCGGATGCATTGTTTTCTAGGTATAGGTTGAGTATAATGCAGAGATGGTGTTTTCCATACATTAGTTCCCGGCAAGGCTGATATAAAGTGGCATTTCTGATTCTTTGATAATTATTTGTTTCGTATGTATGAGGAAAAATACTTCAAAATCAACAGGTTCTTGTGGGAGCCTGAACAAAAAAAGTGCCGTGAAACTATAGAAGCATAGAGTAATTTAGATTGGGAAGGAGCACTGGGGGTCTCGCTCATCCTCCTGCTCCAGCAGGGATTTCCTCACTTAGATTAGGTTGCTTGGGAACTTGCACACTCATGAAAATTTTTGACCTTACAACTGCATTGTTGACATATTCCATGATGCTTATTTGCTGGAACAAGAAAATCTCCTTAATTAATACATTAAAAAAAAAAATCTTTAACGTGCATAATGTAAGGTAATTTTATACCAACCTGAAAAAATATGAACTGGCCTTCATGCCTCCAGAAGTTGGTGACTGGGTAACCCCCATGGCCTCGGCAGGAAAGAAGCCGCAGGGGTCCGTTGCAGTTTGGACAGCATTTCCCTGGAGAAAAAACAGGGGGAGGTATTTCCTCTGTAATGTCAGACAGGTAAATCCCACCTGGTACGATGGTTCACTTAGGAGTGGACTGCCACTTCTAATTTGGGGCTTAGAAACTGCACTGAGAATAAATACACACACAAAAAAATTTCAAACATAAACATAAACAAACAAATAGTTACATTTATTCTGTTTCATTATTAAATATAACTAGAAAGACTATTTCCATGTTTAGTATGTTCAACTAAGAGCTTTCACCTTCAAAGGTCTTAATGTTCTTCTTTCAGTTCTTGAAAGTGCCTGAAATGTCTGTCAGGTATGGTTCTTGTTGGATTTTTGTATGGGACGTCTTTCTGACCTCAGTGAGTGCTTGAGTAAAACCTTTCTTTAGCTAAAATGTTCATTGGTTTCAAAAAACAGTAGCTCTATTGAGGAATACAAAAGAGCTTGAAATACCTAAATGAAGGATGTGTGTCCAGCTCATTTTCTCTGTTTGTACCATCTTGTCTCTGGCAACGTGGCCATGAGGCCTATCATAGAATCGTAGGTTGGAAACAATCTACAAGATCATCTAGTCCAGCTGTCCTCCCATCACCATTGCTACTACAAGCACTAACCCATATCTCGCAGCTCCTCATCCAAACACCTCTTGAGCACTGCCAGGGACAGCGACTCCACCACCTCCCTGGGCAGCCATTCCAGTGCCTGACCACTCTCTGAGAGAAAAAGTTCTTTCTTATGTCCAACCTAAACCTCCTTTGGTACAACCTGTGGCCATTTCCTCGGGTCCTGTTCGTTGCCTGGGAGAAGAGGCCAAACCCCTCCTCACCACAGCTCCCTTCAGGAAATTGTAGAGAGCAATGAGGTCTCCCCTGAGCCTCCTCTTCTCCAGACTAAACAATCCCAGCTCCCTCAGCCTCTCTTCATAAGACTTGTGCTCTATTTGCCAGCCATTGTAGTTAATGAGCACTGTCTTTCCCGCAAGACTTCCCCAAGTTACTCTTGGGCCCATGAAATAATGAAACCAACACTCAGGTCAGCAGGGCCTGAGAAGGCTGCATCAATCTCAAACCATCTTCCACCAGAAAAAAATAATACAATCATAGAATATCACAAGTTGGAAGGAACTCCTAAAGATTATCGAGTCCAAAAGGAAACTAGCAAACAAACAACGCCTTCTAATATTAAGAAATGTAAAGTGCAGTATTCTAAGAGTTGCATTTGAATACAGGAATGGCTGGGTAACCCAAAGAGCATCCTCCATTTTGATTTGGCTTATGTGGTTTCACTTATTAGCTGCCACGTAACGAGCAGCCATGCCCATACTCACGCTGTTGTTTTTGCCTAGCTTTGTCGCATATGGCTGGCCTCAGGTAGATCTTCCTGCCATCCAAGGTAGAGCAGTCATTGCCACAGACCACCACCCCAAGGCAGGACTTCTTTAAAATACGAGAGTTGTGGTTGTTGGTGTTTCTCATTGCCCAGCTACTGTGATGCTTCTGAGCATTTTTATCCTCTGAGCTGTAAATACGTTTTACGTAGGAATCTGGCCATTCCTGAAACCAATCTGTCTGTCTTACGTCCTGAAAAGAGACAAAAAAGAGACAAAAACGTTAGGCTAGAGGAAGGCTCATGTAAGAGCCCAGCATGGCCTTCTGCTGGGTTTCTCCAAGTCTGGGTCACCTCAGCACAGCAGCAGCAGTGTTGGTTGGCAGCTCTCTCTGCCAGAGGTCATGGCACAGGGAAGGCAGTAAAAATGAGGCTCCTTGCAAGCCCCAGAGTGCCAGGAAGGGCAGGCCAGGAGGCTTGGCCTGTGGGTTCTGCCTAGTGCAGAATTGCTCTAGGAGATTAAGATAGGGTATCTGATATAAGACAACACATGCTGTTCTGCTTTGCCCTTCAGGTCATGAAAGCAGCATAATTCTGAGTCATCTGACTTGATTTAGTTCAGCTCACTGGAAAAAGGGCAAATACTGAACCAAAGTGAGGCTATTTGCACATCTGCAGGTGTTTCATTCTGGATTTTTGGACTAAAAGTGCCATGGAAGTCTTCCACAGTGATTTTTTGAAGTCCAAAACCAAAGGTCAGGTTTTATTTTCAACACTGGTGAATGAGCAGAAAAAGCAAGCAAACAAACAAACAAAAAACCCAGAGACAATTCTGTAAGGAACAATAAAAGAAGAAAACATCTCAGTGGAAAATAAAATAAGACAAATAACTAATTACACAACTCCTTTATTGCTACAGTCAACATAGTAAAATGTAGTAAGCTGTAAAACATGAAGCATATTCTCTGATGGTTTTTGAGGGAAAAGGTTGGTCATAACAAAGGTATAAGAACTAAACAGGACTTTACTTAAAATTGCTGTTCCCAGCCACTGAGAGCCATTATAGCAGTAAGAATATGAACTGTGAAGATAAAAACTGCTGAGCACCCTCATTGGAAGGCATAGAGAAAACTATGGGGAAATCCTCCAGGCTGAATGCAGGTGAAGGTGACCTTGGGGGAGGAGGTGGCCTGGGACATGGAGGCTTTGGGCGAGCAGCAGTGACATAGCAGGGAAGAGACTGGGATCAGGTAAGAGGGCTGGGTTGGAAGGTGAGGGACAGAGCTGGATGGCAAAGGAACCTGGAAGGAGGAATCTGGCACATGCATACTAAGGTAAGAGACAGGAAGATGGCTTTGAGGTGTGGGGTGTCATGGGTTTCCAGTGGAGTACACGGGTATGATTTTTAGGTAAGGGGACCAGAAAAGGATGGAAAGAACATTTTACTGTATATTCTCTAGACCTTCAAGCAAAACACTGTCTATAGCTCAGGATGACAAAGAGCATAAATACAGTGAGGCATAGACGAAAGTTCTGAAGTGGAGAACGATCAGAATTGGGTAAATTTCTAAGATGCAGACACATACCTGGGGAAGTTTGATGTCATTGATATCCCAACTTGTCATTTCTCCATTTCGGGACGCAGAGTCCTCCTGCTTCATAGCAACATTGTCTGCAGCCTTCAGCATTTTTGAGATCCTTCCTGAACTTTGCAAGAAAGTCTCTACCGGCTGCTTTTGAAGTTGTCAGCACTCTCAAGCAGTTTACAACCAGGAAGCTGTTTCCCAAAGCAAAATGATAGAAAGGCTGCTCATTAAAGATAAGAATCAGTGTTCTTCTGCCAGAAAAACTTGTTCCATTAAAAGTTTTGCAAGCCAGCAGTGTAGTAGAAAGTATAGCTTAGAGATAGACCATGATGTCTATTCACAGAGGCATGGTGAATAGCAAGCAAATCACGCTTTTATCTGTATTATTTTACTAGATTTTCTCTCCCACCCAATCATGTAACTCTGTTGACAGACTCCTTGTACACGAAATCCCACTCATGTATTTTCAGAGCCAAACTAATCACAGGGCTCTTTGAGTTACTGCTCATTATTAGATGTTTCACATACAACATGCGGCGAGGCTGAGAAGCAAGAGTGTACTGCTGCATCACTCCAAATGAGATGGCTCTCAACCATTTCAGAAACTGTTGGCACCTGAGAACTTACCAACTGCATGAGTGAAGTGTGGAGAGGGGGGCTGGGCTACATGCATATTTGGAACCATTGCGTGCAGGGCTTTGAGCTGAGGCTGATTCTGAGAGGGCACCACAGGTTCAAATGAGATGTTAGACAGTAGGAGAGGGGGGTATTGCAGCCTCAGAATACAAAAGGCTGTGGGAAACATCAGGTCCTCAGCTATTTCTATATTGCATTACAACAGAAGTGGAATTGGTAGTCAGGACAAACAAAATATGAACTGCATTGGAAAACCAGGATGAGTGTACTAAATAAATAACTCTCGACTACTGTGTGCTCTAAAACATGAAATAAATTGTTACCTAATCCAAAATGGCAGTCCTATCGCTTTTAAAATAACTTTTCAAAATGAGATGTCTTAGAAATTGACTTCTAATTTTGACCTTATTAGAGAGAACAGAATATATTTTTTAAATTTTATACTGATAAAGATAAAAACATAATTAAATATTACCTTAAAGTTTAATGAAAGACAATGGTAGCTTCATGATATTAAGCAAAAATCCCAGATTTATGAGTCATGCATGTTGAGCTACTGCTAGCAAAGGCTGAAAGAGTAGCAAAAAATGTGAGTAATAATTACAGTATGATGCAACATACGACATTTTTCATTACTGTTTATGTAGCTTAAATTATAACTGAAATGTCTCAGCTTGATAAAATATGAGTTCTGAACTGGTCTTCCTTGGTTTTTCTCCTTCCCTTCCCCCTTCGTGTTTAGAAGGGTAATATATACAGTACTTATTTCACAGAGGCCTAAATTAACTCGTGGAAGTGACTGAGAGATCCATATAGGCAGTTCTATTAGTGCAATGCATCAAACAGAAAGCAGCCCAGGCTGTTACACTGCAGAAAGCTTGAATGGGAGGATTACACATAGCACTGTGACACTGCCAGTTGTAGAACAGCATTACTTTTTTTGCTTACAATACCGTGCGGAAAGATCAGTCCTTTCCAGAAAGAGAAAGGGCTCAGGGCACAGAAGATCCACAAAAGCTGGACTTGTTCACTCTAGAGAAGACAAGCAGTGACCCTATAAATTCTGAAATTCAGAAGGGTGCAGAGGAAGCAGGGGGTGCTTCTTGTTGCAACTACCCAAAAACCTGGTGGGCACAGAATAAAAATTGATAGCTTCAAAAGAGAAGCAAGGAAGTGTTTGTCATTCACTGTATAATTAATATCAGTTGATCTGGTGATGGCTATTTCCTCTTCGTTTCCCATGTTACTTTGGATCCTTGTGTTATAAGTACTGCTGGTATTGCTGCAGTACGTCATGAAGATCGAACAGATAAGACTGAAAAAAGATAGGAAAGAAATAATATGCAAAGAAAGATCTGTTCTTTATTACTTCTGTGTAACATCTGAAATACGTTAGCATACATTTAGAAAGATATATCCCATTTTTTACAGCTTTCGACCGCTCTTCACTAGCAAGTATTTTGCTTTTTTGTATTCTACTTAGAAGCACTTGGTGTTGGCCGCTGTTGGGAGCAGATTTATGTATTTGTAAAAGAGATTACGTGTACTACCAAGAGTCATAGTACCCAACAGCTTAAATTAATTTTAATTCAATGTAATCTGCAAGTTCTCCTTTGAAAGGGTAGTCTTTCAAACCACAACCACAGATGAATCATGAGTTCTTCAGCTATCATCTGTGACAACAGATTTGGTCTGGAGCTGTGAGCAGCTTTCTGCAGCCTCGCAAAGCACTGCCCAGCAAGCAGCCACCTCCACATGGGCTGCTGCTGCCTGTTGTTTGGTGCCAAGCGCTGATGGAAGGTGAGAGCTGGAGTGCTTGGATGGAGGCTGCTGCAGGGCTGTCACCAGGTCTGGCTTCTTGCTTGTGCTATTCTGCTACCGCACAGAGAAGTGTTTCTGTCACTGTCACCATCAGAGATACCAGCCAGATGATCCCTACCAACCCAAGCCATCCCATGTACCTTGCAGCCAATGCAGATGTTGGCCTTCGTTGCTCTCTTGTCCTTCCTTGGTCCTTCTTTCATTACTGCTGAGTGCAGTGCAAGGAGCTGACAGCACAGTACTAAGATGCTACAGATACTCCTTGCGGAATAGTTCTTTAAATTGACAGGAAGATTTGTTTTCTTTGACTTTTTTTTTTTTTCCTCCAGTGACATTCAGCAGACTTTAAAATACCAAATTTATCCACAGATTCATCATTCTCATTTGATCAACTATGGCAATGAGATGGAGCGATTTGATCAAATTCCCAGACATGAAGCATAAACTTTCTAGAGGTAGACATGTCATTAGTAGTGAGAAAACAGTTGAGGTCCATGCAAAATGTGCTGGGGATGCTTCTTATTTTGTGGAGACAGGTATTTTGTCCCAGGTAGCCCCAACACGTTCCCAAGTTGCTGCCATTTGAGATGCTTACACTGCATTCACTGCTCAAGATTGCCAAGAGACAAGTGAAGGCTTCTCCACTTAATAGCTTACAACTATCACAGTTTTTCCTTCATGTCAAGAGAAGGATGTTTCAGCCTGTTGCAGTGTTCTCATTTTTCATTTTCCATGTACTTTCCTGGCTCCCTCCAGTAGGTGTGTGCTGTTGTAGGCATTATCTACCAGAGGTCCTGCCATGTGAGCTTCATGCCCACACAATTGTGTCACATAGCATAAATACCTTTGCCAGGCATTTTGGTTTGCCCTCTTGAGGAAATCAATATTAATCCACTTGTGGGATAGCTCCCAAATGGCATTCTCAGCTCTTGACCCAGGATGGATATGAATTACTACTTAAAGAATGTTATTAATAATATAAGAAGAATATTTGGAGACTGAGATCTTTTTAGGGATCTCTTTGGGGTGCTTGAGTCTAGATGTTTCACTGTATGTTCTGATAATTCTTTATTAAAACTTTGAGCTCTAATGCTTTGACAGTGAAGGTCAGCTTTCTTATTAGCTTTATTAATCACCTTAATTTGTTTCTCTTACCACATTAGACAGTCTGAAAAGCAGGTGATGTATCTGGACATCTGATTTACTTCACAAGGGAAAGCTATTTCACATATTTCCATGTTATTTGTGCATATAACTGCATTAATAGTAGGATACTTTCGTGAAGTCAGTCTGAATCTTTTATTGTTTTGCTTGTGTGGCTTGATAGCATTATAAACTAGTTCTCCTATTTTTCCTTAGGATCACAAATTCCTCTACTCTTACTAAAATAAGTGGTTTCAGTGAACTACCCAAAGTTTTAGTTGAAATGCTTTCCAGAGGTCTTATACTCGTACGTTGTAATAGTGAAAAGACAATAACATTTTAATCTAGTGAAAAAGTGGATTTATTGCATGGACATTGTGATTACTTTGCTAATCTTCTCAGTCTAGTGCCTTCGTATGTATCACATCTTGATTTTATATTCAGTTTCTCATCTTGTGTTTGTATCTGTATCTGGTGCAAATGCATTTAATTCCTTATTTCTTCACAGCACAAATTTTACTTACAGGCAAATCATCTTATGGATTGATGCAAATCAATTGCAATGCTATAGTGCAATAGAAAGTACAGCAATAAGATATAATGTAGGATGGCAAAGTCCTAGGCTACAGCAAAAGAGGACAAACCCAAATACAACAGTCACAGACACAGAAATGAAAGAAGAAAAACGGCTTACCTCTGGAAGGTCTCAGATAAGTAGGGATCTCCAGCAAGATATCCTTCCTTCCCTTGCCAACCCTAAAATGAGGTCTGGGAAGAGGTGGATCCCGGCTCCACCCCTTCTGGTCACTCAGCAGCATTGCATGCACCTGAGCTCCCCTGGATTGGCCCTGCCTTCCCACCAGGTGCTCAATCACTGCTTCAGGCTGTGACTCAGCATTTCTGCTACACATGTCCATGTACTTCACAAGAGAAATTTGGTATGTCATGATAATTATCATCTTCTTTGTAGGAGCTGACTCATTTCTAATATCATCTCTGACAGCTTTTTCTTTTCTTTTCCAGAGTCAGATGGAGTATTATCCCTGATGAATCCAGTCTCATCTACAGATAATTCCAAAATAAATTCATGTCAGTTATTCACACCCAAGCTTCAGATCAGCCACTGTTGCTGATATGATCGTCTGCTCAGTGATCCAATATGCATGCACCATTCCAGTTTTACAGACTACATCTTGTTTTGTATTCATGTTTTTGTGCAGAAATTCTAAAGCTTTGACAAATTTGCTTTGTTGTGTATTCAAAAATGAGTGGAACTTTTCCACAGCCTGAGCAACTGGAGGAACACGTTGTGGGAGAAATAGTTTCCTTCTAGCTGTTTGCTTCGCTACAGGGCTTAGCTCATGTTGCGAAGCTTCTCTTCCAGTTGAGCTCATTTCGATATGTAAGAGATTGGTGGGAATTAGAACACTGATAAGAGATCAGGTCTTTTTCAGCTTTGGAAATGCCAGATTATGCTTGGCTATCTATTTGACCCCTGTTCCTATCCCTGTAGCTCTTAGGAGAGAGGCTTCTCAGCTGTGAGTGCAGGTTCAGCAATACAGTGTAGCCTTTGGAGAAGCTT